TTCAGATTAGCTTATTGGTGGTTAAATGACATTCCTGCCCATGTCTGATAAAACTGTTTGGAGCAGCTTATTCAGAATAGCTTATTGGTAGAACAAAAGCATATATTGCAAAAGCATACGATAATCACAGATCAGTTCTAAAAGAAGACATACAGTTCTCACACTCTCGTGAGTACCAAAATAAATAAAAAAGTACAAATACAAGTATAACTAAAAGTACAAGAGAAATATTAAAATATTTAATTTCAGACTCTGACTACGTCTGTCATCATTTGCACTGTCAACTTGAGAAAACACCAGATTCCCATTACTGGCAGTGTAATATGAGGGACTGTTAGCCCACCAGAAGAAGCTGTAATGAGCAGAAACACCCTTGGCACAATTGTAGAACTGTCTCCCATAGTTATGAGCTTGACGCGACGTGAGCAACGGAGACGGTTGACCACAATAACACAAAATACCTCTGTTTGTAACTGATATCCTAGATGTCATGTTTGTTCAACTGTGAAAAAAACCACAAAAAAAATTAGTACTTATTCAAAAAAAATACACATAAAAATTAATCTACATATATACAAAGAAAAGAAAGACTTGCTGGATTAGCTTCCAAGTATAACATATGCTATAGACTCCCTCAGAGCAGCCATTTCAGCCACACCCTCGGCGTCATGAACTACAAATTCATTGAATTCATTCTCATCCTCAAGAACTAAAGACCCAATCATGCTTTCTAATGGTTCTTCATAGACTGTCAGCTCTTCGTTATCAGCCATACTAAAGTCCGTATCTAAACGTGAATGGTGTCGCCGTATGATGTTATAAAGTTTCATTGTTGCCACCATAATATGCATCTGCTTCTGAAATGGATATGACAACATATCACGTGGGATGACCCATTTCTTCTTCCACACACCAAACGTTCTTTCAATTACCCCACGTAAAGATGAGTGGCGTTTGTTAAACATTTCTTTCCTACCACGAATAACGCCACTTGCTCGCTCAAAATCAGGAATATGATACCTAGTGTCTGAATATGGTTTGAGATAGCCCCTCTGCATTGGGTATCCCACACAAACCAAATAGTATTTTCCTGTTATGGAAGTTATTGTTATTTGCAATAAATACCTATAACATGGAATTTTAAACTTCAATACATACCTGGAGGTGGATGAGGAAAGTGCTTATCAGCTGCAACTTCAGGGATGTTTTTCAAAGTGTGAAGACATTCAAAGATAGTTCTGTCATGTAGTGGAGCAAGCGGTGGTGCTCCAAAAGCATCTATGAGTCTGTCAAATGAAGTTTTGATAAAAGTATCATTTTCTTTCTTTTTTCTTCCTAGCTTTGGCCTCTTCATCTTTGAGCTTGATTGCCCCATCTCCCTCTGGTTAACGCTGTGTATTTTTTTGTCAACTGTTATCATATATGGTGGAAAATCATCAGGTATTCCTGCAAACCCTTTTTCACACGGGCTATATGCATTCTTTCCATTTGCCATTATCCCCTTGAACATAATATCAAGTTTATCTTCAAGATCAGGGTCAATTTCACACTGCTTGTATTTTTTTGCTGTCGAAATTGCCTAAAAAATTACAATAAATATTTAGGGTCTAGGAAGATAATTGTTTAAAATAAAAAAATTGTAAGTAACAAAAACATCATGACAATTTTACCTCTAATTTCTTGGCCCACCATTCCTTAGGAGCATCAATTGTCCGTTTGAATGGATCCCACCCCAAACCCGTGGATCCACTTTTTAGCTCCTTCCAAATTTTTCACTCCTTCTTCAAGTGATCTATCATAATCCCTTCCAGTCAATTCTTTAAACCTCTTAGATATGTTCTGCCAACCTTCCTTGTTGAAATAGGTGGTCGGCCTATTCCCGATCTCAATCTTGGTGATGCAAAGGTTGCAAAAAATAATTGTAACCTCCTTATCCCACATCACTGAGGGAACACCTTCACTTGTCTTAGAGATTGTGGTACTGTATCAAGAAACACATAGATATATTTTAAAAAGTTAACCTACATCCACAAATTGAGCATACATCCATAACAAATCCAACTGAAGATGACACAAAATAAAGATAAAAACTTTGCTCACAGAAGAAAAAATAAAAAAAATGACACAGATGAATTATGTGGTTCGGTCAAAGACCTACATCCACAGTAAGACGATGAATATGTTTTATTATGAAATTGTGCAAGGTTACATAACTATGCTTTTCAAATACATAGCAATGGTTCTCGATAAACATCTACATTTGATACATCTCCTCTCTAGCCTCATCAAAACAGATGCATCAAAACAGATGGAACCCAATTCTATATAACATAGCAATGGTTGCATATCCTCTATTCAAATCATCAAAACAGATGCATCAAAACAGATGGAACCCAAGTCTATATAACATAGCAATGGTGTTGCAAAGGAAGTGAAGATAACCCAATTCTGTTATAACATGTGCAGCAAAATAGATGCCAACATATCTTTTCATAATAACCTCGACAACAAGAAGAAAAACTGATGTAAGAAGTTAAAAAATTCCAACATAACAATTCCATATAAACCTGATGCAGAAAAATAGATGCAACAAAAATTCCAATAGAACCTCGACAAAAATAGATGCCATCAGAACCTTGCCAACAACATTCTATATAAACCGTGAACCTAAACAAATCAAACAACTGTAAAAGAACAATTCCAACAGAACAAGAACAATTCCAACAGAACTAGATAGTATCTAATAAGTATTCAAACAAATGCCCCTAAAACGTGACCATAAACAATTCCAATTCCAATTCCAATAGGTGCAACTAACATAGTTTATCAATTGCTGAACAATTCGAATTCATTTGTGGTTTTAGATTGTAGGACTAAGGGATTGGAGTTTATGGGTTCAATGTTTTTTGATTTTTAAGTTTAATACTTAGAAGGGTATAGAATTTTAAGGGATTTAGGGTCTAGGGTCTTTGACTGAAGATTTAAGGTCTTAGGGCTTAATAGGATTTTGTGGTTCAAGAATGTTATGAATTCAGAGGTTTAGGAATTATGGTTGATGTTATAGGCTCTATAAAGTTTAGAGTTTAGGATTTTAAGTATTAGGTTTTGGGTTTATGATTTATGATTTATAGTGTAGGTTTTGTCTTTAAGGATTAGAGTTTTGAATCTAGTGTTTAAGGTTATGGGGCTATAAGTTTCTGATGAATGTTTAGACTTTAGGGTTTATTATTTAGGTTTTAGCTCATTCAAGCCTTTATGTATTAATGGATTTGTTCTTCTCCACATATTTCATGCTCCAAATTTTGGTACTCGTGCTGTCACAAATTTTCCAGTACAAACTCTCCAAAAAGACTCTAAAAATACATAAGAAAGTCAAAAAATGGTCGGATCTGCAAAACAGAGGTCAACACGTATTATAACATGAAACATATAAATGATCATATCTGGTGAGAGGAGAGCTAAGTATTACTTGCAAAAGAATTGGTTTTTTTTAAAATATTATGCTCATTCTTTTTAAAAAACCATACCTTATAAAAATAATGTACTCTAAATATATTAATGAGTTGGACACGCTAATAATAAGCATAACCACTTATGCCCTTCTTCAAGCTGGCGAACACATGTTGAGACATAACCACTCATGCCTTTCTTCAAGCTGGCAAACACGTGCTGAGTCTGCTGAGACGTTTACACATGGTCCTCTCCCATGTTTGCCCAAAACCATCGCTTTCGTGGCAAGAGCTTTGGAGCCGAAACTGCGAGGGCAACAACACGATTGTCGTGTATGGAGAAAAATTTTATGTCCGGACTCCGGACGTAGCTCTACATGCGGACTCTCATTAATATATCGCCATGTGTGCTATATCGGGCTCACCTTAACAAATATTAAAGTGAAATCGCGGAGGTTATTGAAGTGGAACTACGGAGGTTATTGAAGTGAAATTGCGGATGTTATTTAGAGGGTTATTGAGGGACTATTGGGGTATTAACTTCAATAACGCCGCAATAACCCCTCAATAAACTTTGTGGTTCTACTTCAATAACCCCTCAATATCCTCCGCAGTTCCACTTCAATAACTCTCTGCAATAATCCCAACAAAAACCTCCATTAACCTTTACGATTCCACTTCAATAACCCCTGCATTAACTCCCACAATAACTCCCAATAGCAGTTTCACTTTAATAATCCATCAATAACTTATGCGATGTAGCACCGTGACGACATATTACTAGAGTCCACAGGTAGAGCTACGCCCAGAGTCTGGACAAAAATTTTTCCCATGCGAAGGGAAAAAAAAATTATATTCGTACTTCGGACGTAGCTCTATGTGCAAACTCCCAGTAATATACCGTTATGTGTGCTATATCGAGTCCACATAAAAAATATTAAAGTAGAACCACGGACTCCACAATAACCCCGAAATAATCTCTCGCAGTTCCACTTTAATAACCCCGAAATAACCCAAAAGTAATATCCGCGATGTTATTTCGGAGTTATTGAAGTAAAACCACGAAGATTATTTCAGAGTTATTTTTGAACATTTCCAAGCTCGATATAACACATATGACTATATTACAAGGAACGTAGACCTCGACAGAATTTTTTTTGCATGTAGGGAGCCGAAACTTTCATCTTTCATCTGCCACACTTCTCCTACCCGAAAACCAGGGAGATGCAAGGAAGGTAACTTTATATCTTCCTTCTCACGCGAATTGCCCATCCCGAATTCACAGGATCTAATAAATCCAAGATTTAAAACTGACATCAATTATTTACGTATGTCATACGCGTATGACCCCGAATACACTTTCAATAACTCAGTTATGAGGGGTTATTAAGAGGTTTTTGGATATTAACCTCAATAACATCGCAATAACCTCTCAATAATCTTACCTCTCAATAATCTTTAAATACATTCCGTGATTCGCAGTGTGATTCGTAGCTAATCCTTTTTTCTATCATTCGGTATTATCCTGCAATAACATATAAATAACCTTCGTAGGCACCTAATTACCGTCTGGTAGGATTTAGGTCAAATTCAGGTCCTGCTCTAAATCCATGATTACACTTTCCCTCGGCTCCCGCTGTGCTCATAGCCTCCGACATGGGAAGTTTGAGCCGAGGCCGCGCCCTCTTCACCGGGGGCAGTCACCACCAAAACATTGTTTGCGGGCGGGCTCACCAGATCGGCGCCATAACCCTAATCGCCGCCACGTTTCTTCTTACCAGAGCCCTTGACCGTCTCTACTACTTCCCCATTCCCTCTTCCTCCCCTTTGTCCGTTGTTTCCGGCGAACCTTCGGTCGGCACTCTCTTTCTTAGCTCCGGTTCCCTAGCTTGGCCTCACCGCGGCTACGGTACTTCTCTCTCCCTTAGGATCTATGTCTACGAGGAGAGCGAGGTGGATGGGCTCCGTGAGCTGATGCGCGGGAGAGACGGCAAGATCTCAGTGGAATCCTGCCTCAAGGGCCAGTGGGGTACGCAGGTGCGTGAATATCGATCTATGGCCTGTTTGATTGTATATTTCAGGTTAAGTTAAATTGAATTAAGTCATGTGGTTGGTTAAAAATGTAAACTGAGATTTACTGATGAAACTGCTTGATGATTTTGTAATAAATCTAGCCGAACTTTAGTTATAAGTAGTCAGATTAAGTTGTTATAACTAGGAGACCATGAAAGTTTTTACAAAATCTCAATGTTCTTGGTGCTGTTGCCATTGCTGCAAATATATTTGGTATAGCTTAATTCAAGCAATAAAGTGATAATGTACATGCAGATTATCGATATGTATAACAATGATGAGAAATATTGCAATAGAAACTAATAGTTCACAAGATCAAAATTTGAATGCCAGATATTTTATAAAATAGAATATTATAAATACTTAGATGCACAAATACTTAAAAAACGAAGCTCACCACACATGCAAATATTATAATTGTTCCTAATTTTGATGCATGAATATTTTTTTTCCTTGGTGCACCTGGAGTTCTTTGCAGTGAACCTACTTAGTTATTGCTTCCATTCAATAAGATTGCAGGATGATCACACCTTAATTAAATCTTGGAACAACTAGATAACTTGCACTAGAAAATCCACACTTTACTTTGGTACTCCTATGTACTTTAACACATGGTTTTGGTGGATGTATACCTGGTACTGTCTCATACCTATGTGGGAACTTAAGCCTCGTTTGACAACACTTTGCCCTTGAGAAAAGTTTGTTTAAAAGAAAATTCCAAAGAAGTGTCATCATAAAATTACGGTCCCATAAAATAATATGGGTGTTTGAATACAATATTCACTGTGTGACTTTTTAACTCTATTAAGTATAATGTTAAAAGTTAGGTGACTATTATAACCCTGTCACATCTGAAAATTCAATCGCGGGGTCGCTTTGTTCTTCTCGAGAAGCTACCAGAGTTTTTCATTCTTCTACTCATATCGTGACGCGTAGCCTTTTCGATGGCGCAGATCTCCTTCAAAAGTGCATTGTCCTTTGGGTGTCAAGAATGTGGGCGATCTCTTTTACAAATGCATGAGTAAGTGTGATACTGAAGGGAAATTTTAAAAAATTTGGGCCACAATGATTGATAAGGGGAACCTCCACAACAACATTTGGTTATAAGACATGTACAAGATCAGACATAAATGGTCCACAGTCTTCAATAAAGAAATATTTGACATGAGAATATTATCAACACAACGAAGTTAGTTAACAAATAATATTTGTCACGATGTTTCAAAGCCTACTAGCTCTCTCGTTGATTGTTTTGTTGGTCTTGAAAATATTATGAAATTATGGCGCTGGAATGAGAAGGATGGAGATTTCAAAAGCGATCAATTGGTCATTACGCCAGTGGTAAAAGACAATCCATTTTTGAGGCAAGCTGCCACCTTTTATTCGAGAAAGTTTTACTTTGTGTTCCAGCAACAGTTATTAGATGGGCTTTGTGGACTGACAATTGAATGCCTTCCAGAGAGTGACTTGGAATATATTGTAAGGAATTTGGATAACCAACGAGCAAACACGCACTGGACAGTGAAACTTGACAAAGTCAATTCCGAGCTCACTTGTACTTTCAAAAATTTTGAAATGATTGGGATATTATGTTCTCACTCACTTTATGTGTTTAATGTGGCACAAATAAAGCTAATTCCCCAGAATTATTTCTTAATGCGATGGTCTGTTCACGCTAAAAGGAACATGTATAACAACATTGGCTACGAACATATTAAGGAATCCCAAAAGAGCACTGATTCAGCAAATGGTCTACTATTTCGCTCACACTCTCACAAATTTACATAACAACTCATTAATAAAGCACAGAGAAATGAAACAACTGAGCAGATGCTTTGGGAAACATTTAAACATCTATTTGATGATATTTATGATGCATTAGCTAGAAAATCACGTCAAACAAATAAAGAATTAAAGAAGACAAAAAAACTAAATGCCCAAGTCAATTTGAATGACCCGACAAAAATGAGGCCGAAAGGAGTTTCTACGTCTAGGTGGAAAGGGTATTGGGAGAAGAATAAGAGACCAAAAAGTATATATTTCAGTATTATAAGATATTTTAATTATTGTATGAT